ATATATATATATATATATATATATATATATATATATTTGTTCATCGTCAAATCTTTTATCACCCGTTGTCATCTATCGCGCTATGTTGTCACTATAACGCTTGCATTGTCGCATCACTTATGTTCATATCCATCATGGCTCGTCAAACATTTATCACATTTATTCTCTTTTAAGATTATTACGATATATATATATATGAATTATTATATGCGTATGTTATATGATATATAATTAGTACGATTGTTCTGTGATACACCACATTACGCGGCTTTATCACACACGACACGCGTGTACCGTATCGGAGTTGCCACGAATAACTAGTTGTTATTAGAGTATAGCGTATATAATTCCCCCGTTTGAGGGTAATCCACAACGCAATTGTTATCGATTCAGAATATGAATTTTAGCGGCATCTCTTTAGTCACACGAATGTTCAAGTCATAAAAAAAAAAAAAAAAAAAAAAAAAAAAAAAAAACAATCCAAACTATGCCACACACATGTGAAAAATATTTGAAAAAAATATTTCTTCTCAACAAACACAGACTTTTTTTGTCTGTGGACAAAAAATGCATCATCCAACTATCAATCGCTCCCTTTGAATTTTAAGGGACATAATATCATTGTGAGTTTGAAACGTCAACTCTTACACTCATACCGACACGTAATACACACGCACACACACACACACACACGTGAAATTCTCAACGTAAAACTGGCACTGAATCCTGAGTCTGTCATCACGCTGATTAACCGAAATGTTGAGACCGAAAGTTTATGAGATCGAAACATTCTGAATTGTCTTTTGAGATGGGAAATACTTAGACTAATAGAGACTCTTCTCGCTATTTTTTGCAAAAAAATGCAAATTAATTACTTCGTTCACCAAGTACCAGAGTAATACCTTGGCAAAACCAAAGAGTTTATACGTATAGGATGATTCGTTAAAAAAAAGGTTACGAAGATTTGTAAGGTCGGGGAAATTTTAAAGAGCGTCTCAAAAATTCGTATCCTTTTTTTCCCTCCCCCCCTCCCCCCCCGAAATATCCTGTACCGTACGTCCTTGGCTGGAGAGAAGTTAAATATTTATCCAAAGTGAGAAAAGCTATTCTATATATATACAAACATATATTTATATATTTACAATGCTGGCTGGTCCAGCTAAATAAATAAACGGGATAACTCCTTATATTGCCAAGTTATATTCTTAATTCCAAAGCGTTAAAACAAAGTCTCCATCTCAGAAACAAAAAACCTCATCTAACTAAGTTTCGTAGCGTTTAGATTAATATAATACGCTAGAGAGAGACTAAACATCAAACGTTGTTAATTTTTAACGTGTATTTTTAGGGGATGGAAAAATATATGTTTCGCGCGCGCGCGCTAGAACTTGTTCACTAGTATTGATAAGCGACTCATGTTTGCGCGCGTCAGTTTGTAGAGATAAAACAATTTCTCTTATTCCGCATACTTGCATAATTGTTCCGTTAAATCATCTCACATCTCGAACTTTTAGTCTAATTATTTTCCTCTTCTAAGGCGGTTCATCAGATTTACTATGCGATCGAGATCTAACGTGTATCTTTGCCTATAGTGTTTAGTTTTAGTCTCACTCGAAAATCGGACTTGACGATTGGAATTTATATATTATTATGTGCCTTTTGGGAGAAAGTAGTGTGTATTGACGTTTTACTTTACTCGCGAAAAAAAACGACGCGAACGTATATATATATATATATTCGTTGAAGCAATTTTTTTTTTTTTTTTTTTTTTGACGTCTTATTTAAACTTGTATTATTAATCTTGAACGTTTCTCGCCTTCGTGCGCGAGAAACATTTTTACCAATTTACGTATTTTAAATGATTCGAGAGCTCGAAAGTTTATATCACAATTCGACTTTAAACCGCATGAGTGTCTTCTATATTATCTGTTTGTAGTCGTGTTGTTACTTTGACAAAGTTTTGATTATCAGAACAAATCGAAGTAATTTTGAATTCCGGTATGAGTAAAAAGAAACGTGTATATTTTTGTACGCTGAAGAGTTTCTGTTTATGTAAATGTGAGCCAAAAAAAAACACAAACGACGAAAGGTTTTATGATAAATCTTGAAAATTTGCCACGGAGAGGCGACAGGTCATTAAAATGCTAGGATCAATTGAAAAATTCCCGGATAAATTTAGTACGTCTCTTATTGTTAAAAGAAAAGATTATTTGCTTTTTTTTTTTACAGAAAGCAAAGTGATTTTCAAATATAATTTTTTTTTCTGAGGGGAGAGGGAGATATGTAGACAAAAATAGGAAAGGGGCGATATATGCTAAGTAGGTAATTTCTCTCGATATATAAAATGGGTTTTTAGTTAAAAATGATTTATTATGTTGAAATGTTTAGCTTTATATCATTTATAATGAGCCGCATTAACCTTGTACACTCTGTAGATGTATAACAAGTACAATTCAGAAATTGGAGGCATTGGCCCACCGTTCTTCAAATGATAACTTGTATATTTATAAATAATTGCATAACGGGAAATGAGATAATATATTATGCAAACAAAAGAGGATATTTATATATATATATATATATGTATGTATAACTAAGCAGTGACCGTATGTATGTTGTTAATTGAGAATTACTCATTACTTGACATACGCAGAGAACAGAAAGCTGATTTTTCTCTTAATAATAGACATGCCTCGCTGAAAATGAGCGAGACACAACCGGTCTGACGACGTCGTAAAAAAAAGGGTCGGGCTTGACCTTTTTTTATGTAGTTGAGATAAGCCCATTGACGCGTTCCATTAATATACAATCGGTTACTACTGTATATGTTACAATGGAGAAGCATGGAATCAATAGAAACATTGAAAATTCATATATATATACATATATATATATTCTTTCTCTTAAAAACAGTAAATCCTGTAAATTTACTTATTAAAGTTATATTTCATATTTTTATTGACTCCACTCTTTTACTGTAACATATGTATACATATATATATATATATATAATATAAATAAATAAATACATATATATATACGTTAATATATACATATATGTATATATAATATATATACATAGATATATAAATATAAAAAAAAATATATATGTTATATACAGAAAAAGAAGATGCATTAGATTATTACGAAAAGAGAATTGTTGAATAAATAATATATAATTCATGTATATATATATATATAAGTGTATATTATATGTATACACACACACACATACACACACACACACACACGTAAATGTTAAGTATAAGAACGTGGAATGATATTGCAAAAGATTGTTGATAAAAATATTTGCGTCCGCAGAGAAAAAAGAGAGATAACAGATTTATGTTTATCCATAAATTCTATGTGAACTATTATCAATGAAACTTCTCACACACTGTGTTGCCCAAATACACTAAATAAACAGTCACCGAAGAATACGAAATATTATTAATTATATATAAAAATTAGATAGATCAAATTTAAGATTTTAAAAAATATATATATATATATATCATGTAAATGAGAAAAACTTTATATAGTGTTAATTGAATTAGTGTGTTCTGATGGCCTTCGGCTATTAATGTTAAACAGCGGCTTAATACATTTCATATTGATTATTAATACACAAATAATGTAAAATGACATCCGTCATTCTTCAAAAAAAAATCACAGATAGAGATCAATTAATTGAGTCGCCACTGAATTCTTCATCGCATTACAAAAATCCATCGTACGGTCGGCTACGAACACTGTCTCTCGTGGACTGCCGGTAGAGACGCGCCAAGAACCCTGAATTCGTATCGCGCGATACGAAACAAACACCGTTAAAAAAAAAAAAAAAAACAGCAATTTGTTTGTTCACACTCGAAATTGTTGTTGTTTTTTTTTTTTTTTTTTTCAATTCCCGTTTCATAACATAAGACACACATACAGTTTTACTACTCTGTCACCGCTACAAATATGTACGTTACCTGTTAGATTTATAATATATTATTTATTTGTCTTTCGTACACACGTTCACAATTATGTGTTATTTATCGTATCCTAATATATTTATTCACAAGAAAGTCACAAGGAATCGTCGAATTGTGAAAAATCTGAAATCAATTGACATTGATTTGTATTTATCTTGTCAAAGTTTTGTGAGAGATAGCTGGTGTAAGATTTAATCGTGAGATCGTGTGAAAAAAAAGTTGAACGAGAACGAGACTCGCGAACGGCACGCGAACTCTGATTTGAAATTTTCAGATTTCAAAAATGTGCCTGAAAAAAAGAAAGGGATTTTCGATGTTTTTTTTTTTGTTTGTTCGCTTCCGGTCTTGTTCTCACGTGATTGTCGTCATATCTTTGCAATAGTTAATTTTCCGCAATCCTAGCATCCCNCCCCCCCCCCTCCCAGCCCCCGTTTTGTTTGTACGAAATGCAAGAAGAAACATCCTGCCATGTCTCGTGATGTCATTAGCGCAGCGTAATGGAAACGGCTGAATATTTTGTGATAAGCAGCGTATGTCTGTTGGTACAAAGTACAAAATAGAGCACGAGTTACGACGTACATGTTTGTAGAGATGCAACAAAAAAAAAAAAAAAAAAAAAACAATATATATATATATATATACATATATATATATACTTGAAAGAAAGCGGAAATGAGAAAGGTCTCCGTTAATAAACAACTTGTAGGTAGCCAAAATCCGCGTTCACTTGTAGGATAAATAATTATTACGATTTCTCTCTTGATATATTATGTGTAAACATTCCGTATTAGTAGAGCAGATTTTTTTATGTATAAGAGACTAGCTGTGATGGAGTTGAAAAGAGATGTTGTGTATTTTTATCAGCTGTGTGCGCGCGCGCGCGTGCCTCAGTCTACACACTGAGACGACGACGAGAATCATATGTGTTTGATAGATTATAAAATTGTAGAATTTATTTTGCGCAGGATGCTAAAGTTCGCGACAACATGCAAAAAGTTCGACCAGGTCAAGGGGAGATCGAGAGGAAAAATGTCAAAGTGAAAGAAAGGGAGCTTCGTCAGTGCGCGCAATAACTCGCGCGACGATTTATACGAGAGAGAGAGAGAGAGAGAAAGTGCGTTGATTAAAATAAATATTTGTAATTATTTGTATCGTAATCATGACCGCACAGAGAGCGAGAGAGAGAGAGAGATCCGGACAAATCCGATTAAGAGCAAACAAGTCACAAATGTGTAAAATTCGTCGAAAAACGCGAAATCTTCTTGCAATTCCCGTGAGAATTGTTAATAATATTATATCGAAGAAGAGAGAAAGAAACGGTTTTTTTTTTACACTACACATAGAGGCCATAGAACGCGATCCAGAGAGAGAGAGAGCCAGTTTAACATAATAAGTAATTTTCTTTCTAGTATGTACGCGTTGATTTTAAACAATTAAACCGGGTATCAAATGATTCACGTCCGGGTAAGATTTACAAAACAGGTAAGGTAGTACAAGTTTGTTACTTCAAAGCATCGTTTTGCGTTTTTATATTCCTCTCTCGTTAAAATGTAGACGAAAATATAAGAATGATGCTTTGAAATTCACATTCAGTAGAACACTTTAGACTTTACCTTCCGATGTTATCTCCGGGAGAGACGGTTCGCTGAAAGCGTTACCCGAGAACGGCGGTGGTGATATTACTCAGAATATTCGCGCGGTTTATTTCAAGTTGAACTTGAAATAAAAACAAACGTGCTCTGAATTTATTTTGTAGATTCAGAAAAATGCCGGATAGATTTTGAGGTGCGCGTCGTCATCTCGAGAAAATTTAACAATTGTGTTTATATTGACTAAACACTTTTCGTTTTCTCTCACCTCTCACTTTCGTTTTATTTTTTTTATTAAAGTATCTTAAACATCCGCGAAACGCGCGCGAATGAAACACGTGGTTCCATCCGTCATTCGAGGTAACACTTTCAGTTGAACTTTTCCAACGTCGTTCAACAACAGCGTGTGCGTGTGTGTACACACTAATACTGGAGTACATTAATGGTTTTTCGCACATTTGTAATATTGTAAGACAAACAAATTCACTACGACTATTTTTCTTTTTTGGTTAAATTAATTAATTAATTAATTACGTGAGCTAAAAACTACATTCTTTTATCGAGTACACGTAAAGAAACGTGATCGAGGCGAAACTGAAACGAAACCGTTAATGAACTGTAGTACAGTATGCTTTGTTGCACACTAGTGTGTACACATATATCAGTCGACGATTAAATTTAAAAAAAAGCGTCCAATCCTTGCGTGCGTGTATAAAAAACAACAATTTTGTTACGAACGCTAGATCGAACGATTGATACGTGTCGCGGTATATATTGAATTATACCAGCAAGGGGTTTTTTGGTTTTTTTTTTTTTTTTTTTTTTTTACTGGTAACGAGAGTTTATTGCGTTTTACGATGTGCAACAATATATTCGCACAGGAACCGTTTAATCCTTTCCGTATTGACAATCTCGAAACAATGATCACTGATGCGCGAATTCTCTCTTGAATTCTTTTTTCAGAAGAGATATAAAAAAAAAACGTTAGAGAACACACGACTCGGTAGAGAAAAAAACAAGTTTTGGCTGATTTTATATTTCTGACACATTGACACTCGGTCGGGAGTGAAAGGTATGATTTTTCAAAGGTGGTGTTTTTACACCGAGAACGGAAGGGAGTAAACACGTTCTTTTGTCTTTTATTTTATTTTTTTATTTTTTACTTTTTTTTTTAGAATAACGGATGACGCGCAGTCGCGTCTGCACACACAAGGTGGCAAAGCAGTATTGGTCGGCCAGTTAGCGTTACCTACGAGTTGTTTAATAGGAGAACGTTACGTTATAAATGTTTACACTAGACCGGCAGTCATCACCTTTGTTAAGAAAGTCTTTTATTTTTGCAGAAAATATTTTGTTTTATTTAAGGATATATATATATACACACACACATATATATATATATATATATATAAAGTTTAAGAATATATTTTCTCGTTTGTCAGCCCGAGCTGGCAGCAAGGAAACGACGTCGCGTCGTTCGGATAGGTGTAACATGGAATACAGTTTAGAGACATAGAAAGATATGAGAGAGTTAGTTTCTTAAAACACAATCTCTTTGCGAAAAGTTGTAAATTTTTCAAACACTTCAAACGATAAGTAAATCAATGTCCGAGACAAAAAAGAAAAAGAGAGAAAGAGAAGAAAAATTAACTACGTGCGTATCCGTATACGCGACACACATACGAAAATAAGTTAAGAGAAAAATCCAGAGATATATATATATATATATACGTATATATATAAACACATTTATATATATATATATATAAATTATTAACTCTCGCGCGCAACGTGGAAGAGGAGAAGGAGGAGGAGATGTATAGCGTGTAGTGATCAGGGAAATGTAGCAA